ACCCCAAGTATATACTCCACTCTGCAACCCTCATTCCAGACTCTTATGATAATCATAATGCCCTAAAATATATTAATTTTAAACTATTCTCTCCCTCATCGGCTTCAATGCAATAAACATAATTTATCCTGTTTTTCTCAGTCCTACTCCCACCCCGATGTCAGCCTCATTCTACAACAGTGGCACCATATAATATTTGTCCTTTTGTGACTGAGATATTTCACTCAGCATAATGTCCTCCAGGGTCACCCATTTTGAATAATACTGCATGAGTTCCTTGTTGAAAAAATATTTTTAATTTGATAATGTTAGCTTGCAATCATCTCATAATTAACCAAGATGGCATTTTGATTCTGTATCCAGGAGCCAAGTAAATTGACTGGAAAAAAACAAATACTAAGAAATTATTAGTTGAAATAGTCTATTATTTTTCAAATTTTAATAATCTAAGTTTTATTATAAAAAATTACTGTCAGTGTTTTACTGTTGGCTACTAGGTCTAGGAACTAATACATAAAGAACTATTTTCTTTTACTTGATAGTTTATAATATCAGTAGATTCAGCTCTTTTAGGCCTTAAGTATCCTGAGTATCTGAGAAGTTTTATGAATCACTTACTGTGGATAGGTCCTCTACTGTTGATAGATTTTTCAGGTTTTGAGCAAATTATTTGAGAAGCTGGACTCTATGAAGAGGAATCTGGCATCAAGATTAAAGGCCAGCTCATCAATAATGTGTGTTATACAGGTGACACAGCCTTGCTTGCTGAAAGTAAGGAGGACTTGAAACATTTGTTGAAGAATATCAAAGAATACAGCCTTCAATATGGATTGAATCTCAGTATCAAGAAAATAAAGATTCTTAGCACTGAATCAATAGGGAACATCATGATAGATGGAGAAATGATCGAAAATGTCAACAATTTTGTCTTACTTGGAACCACATTTAACACCCTTGGTACCACCAGTCAGGAAACCAGACATATTGCCCTGGAAAAGTATAAAGTTAGGGACCTTCCCAAATTACTAAGGAGTAACAATGTCAGTTTGAGGACCAAGGTGCATTTGACTCAGGCCATGGTCTTTTTGATCACTTGCTATGCATCTGAGAGCTGAACAATGAATAGGAATGACAAGAAGAATTGATGGCTTTGAGCTCTGGTGTTGGATCCAAGTGCTGACCATCCCATAGTTGGCCAAAAGAACAAACAAATATCTTTTGGAGAGGGTGCAGCGAGAGTGCTTTTTGGAGGCAAAGATGATGAGGTGGGTGGTTGGGGGGGGCGCGGTGTGCTATCCCTTGGGAACAGACATGATACTCAGAAAGGTAGAGGGTCACCAGAGAAGGAAGACCCTCATCTAGGTGTATTGACACCATGACAGCTGTACTGGGCTCTAGAGTGCCAGGAAGAGTAAGGATGGCACAGGATAGGACAAGGTTAAGATCTGTTGTTCACTGGGTTGCTGTGCATCGTACTTGACTCAGTAGCACCTAACAACAACTATATAGATAGGTGATAATGAGCTAAATGTAGCCTCAAAGTCATTCATGATTTTCAGGAAATTTCCTTCTTTTTTGTTATGGGGGTGTGTTTATGTTGTTGTTAAATGCCGTTAAGTCAGACACAACTCATAGCGATCCTATAAACAAAAGACCTGAACTCTGTTCTATAAATATCATCATTTCTCTAAGTTCATAGAGTTTCCAGAGTATGTCGTTGACAAAGTGAATGCCACTCCTGCTTCCAAACCTGTCTTAATCCGGGAGCTACTCCAAACACTATCCACTGTGAGTAACCATTATGGCATTTCACACACCAGTGGCACAGTGTTTATCATCACAACAATTCCAAGTTACCTCAGTACAGCAAAATGGCAGACCAGTGCTCTACCACTTAGAAGAATGTGAGTCCCAAACACAATTAACACCAGCCTCCAAACTGGAGACTTAGGGGCCAACTGACTTTTAAATACCAAGACCCTCCACCAGGTCCTGTTGACGTTATAAACAAGAGGCTTCCCTCCCACAGCTCATTGTCCACTAAATCCAGTCAGCTGTCACACAGTTGTGAACGAAATTAAAAACAACCAAACAGTCCAAAATTGACCCTCAACCAACATAAAACATCCCACCTTCTACTTCTCATTTAGAAGAATATGAATCCCAAACACAATTAACACCAGCCTCCAAACTGGGAACTTGGAGTCCAATTGACTTTTAAATATCAAGGTCCTCCACCAGGTCCTGTTGACTCTAAACTGTGTGTATATAAAATCTTTGTTAAATTTATAGCAGCATTTTGAAGAGATGTTTTACCTTGAGAACTAAAAAAAGGACATGGGGGCACAGGGCTATTAGCATCTTTCTGAAAGGGCCAGAAGGGCTGCTCATCACTCTGGAGCAGAAAGTAGATAGAGTCAAAAGTCCAGCCCCATAGGTGCCTCTAGAGCCACACCAACAACAAGTGGTTTGTTTATTCATTGTTGACTCACACACTGTACTCACAGTTGTGTTGATTTTGAGAATGGTGTTTATTAGGGAAATAAGTTGGAGAGTAGGGGAGGCCAAGAGTATCAAGCAATGCAAATCCAGGTTTTAGCCCAACAGTCCTCAGGCACAGTTCCTCAGTTAGTACAGGCTCAGTTTTCAGTTAAGCAGTCACCTTTTCCTTCCATCATCAAAGGCAAGAACAGCAAAATCCTTTCACTGTGGCCTGCCTTTAAGCTCTACTCTGGTTACACTTTGCCACAGTTTCTCCATAGCCTTGTTCTCTCCACCATCACCAGAGTCTTGCTCTCAGCAGAGTCTTGCTCCAGTCTTCCTCAAGTCCTGCTACTTAATATAGGAAACTCTTTCTCTTATCCTAGTCCCACAGCTGTTGATGATTTGCAAGACCATGAGCCTGCAGTTAAGGTAGTTGGAGACTAGAGCAGGACTAAGGTAAAAAAAGCCAACTTAAGGCTAACACCACATGTATAGATTGATACAGGCCATGGTTTTTGCTATCACTTGTTATTTATCAGAGTGTTGGACAATGACTAAGGAGGATAGAAGGAGAATTGATGCCTTTGAGCTGTGGTGCTAGAGAAGAGTATTGAGGATACCATGGACTGCTAGGAAAACGAACAGATTCATCCTAGAAAGGGTCAAACCGGGCAGCTCCTTTGAGGCAAGGATTCTAAGGCTCCATCTAACATACTTTGGACATGTTGAAAGGAGGGACGGGTCCTTGGAGAGGGACATCATTCTTGGTAGGGAGAAGGGACAGTGCAGAAGGGGAAGGTCCCCTATGAGGTGGATTGATTCAGTGACTGGGGTAATCGGGATGGGTGTATCAGAGACGGTTTGATTGGCACAGGACAGAGCAGAGTTTAGGGATGTTGTACATAGGGTCACTATGAGTTGCAAGTGACTCTACGGCATGTAACAGCAACAACAATTATTTACATATTTAGTAAAATGATTAAACAGGATATGCAATGCAGTTAGAAGTTTTTGAAGCATAGATGTATGCATTAAAAAATTACGTAGCTTGGCAAGCTCTGGTGCTTAGTGGCAAGAAGCTGCACTGCAATCCCAGAGGTGCACAGTTCAAATCCATCAGATGCTCTGCTGGAGAAGGAGGAACAATCTCCTGTTCCAGTCAGATCCAATTTGACAGTACATACACACATAATAAAAAATTTAAAAAAAAATTACATAGCTGGCAAAATTTTTATGCTGGTTATCTCTGGATACTAAAATTATATAAAATTTTTCTTCTCTGCATTTTTCTTTAATGTTCTATAATGAACATGTGCTGCATATATCATAATCAGATATAAAAAAGAATTTAATATCTATATATAGTATTTGACATTCATATTATAGATGCAAAGGTCAGAATTTCATTTGAATAAAAATGTGTTTCATTAACTTAAATATAAACAAAATGAAAGTCATGTTTTAATTTTAGTTTGAAGTTAAGTGTATCATGTATTTCTTTTCTGAGGGCAGTACTGTTATTATGTGCCATTGAGTCACCTGCAACTCATAGTGACCCCATGTAGAACAGCCCTAAACCCTGCTCTGTCCTGTGCGAATCTTATTGTCTCTAACACCTACCACAATTACCTCAGTCACTGTATCAATCCATTTCATCGAGGATCTTCCTCTCCTGCGCTGTCCCTCCACCCTCCCAAGCATGACATCCCTCTCCAAGGACTGGTCCCTCCTTGCAACATGTCCAGAGTATGTCAGATGAAGCTTCAGAATCCTTGCCTCCAAGGAGCAGGCTGCTTTAACCCTCTCCAGGACGAACCTATTAATTCTCTTAGCAGTACATGGTATATTCTATATTCTTCTCCAATACTACAGCTCAAAGCTCAATTCTTCTTCTATGATCCCTAGTCATCTTCCAGCTCTCTGATGCATAGCAAATAATGGCAAAGACCATGGCCTGTATCAGACGTACCTTAGACTCCAGACTGACATCATTGCTCTTCAGTACTTTGAAGAGGTCTCAGACAGCAGACTTTCCCAACACAATACGTCTATTAATTAATTTATTGGCTGCTGGTGCAAGAGTATTGATTGTGGAGCCAAGCAAACTCAATCTTTCCACCGTCCATCACGATGCTGCCAATTGGCCCAGTGGTGAGAATTTTTGTTTTCTTGATATTGAGGTTCAATCCATATTGAAAGCTGCAGTCCTTGGCCTTTGGCAGCAAGCACTTCAGGTCCTCCTCAATTTCAGCAAGCAGGATTGTGTCATCTGCATAACACAGATTATTGATGAGTTTTCCTCCAATTCTGATGCCAAAGTTCTCCTCATAGAGTCCAGCCTCCCAGATAATCTGATCTGCATATAGGTTGAAAAGGTATGGAGATAGCACCATGCAATATTCCCTTGCTGTGTTTTGACAACTGACTCCTGGTCCAAGTATAGGTTTCACGTTAATATGATCAAGTGTTTCTGGGATTCCCATTTCTCTCAGAAGTAGCCACAGTTTGTTGTGGTCCCCACAGTCAAATGCCTTTGCATAATCAATGAAACACAGGTAGTCATTCCTCTGGTACTCCTGCTTTCAGCCAAGATCCATCTAACATTAGCTACGATATCCCTAGTACCATGGCCTCTTCTGCTTAAAAACCTGCACTTTTGGCAGTTCTCTGTTGATTTTCTATTCCGGTCATTTTTGGATAATTTTCAGCAGAATCTTGCTTGCATGTGATCTTAATTATATTGTTTGATAATTTCCACACTCTGTCGGATTACTTTTCTTTGGAATGGGAACAAATAACTGTTCCATTTGGCCAGGTAACTGTCCTCCAGATTTCTTAGCACAACTTAGTTTGCACATCCAGAGCAGCATCTGTCTGTTTGAAGTAGCCATCAATTCCTGGGGACTCATTTTTTGCCAGTTCTTTCAGAACAGCTTGCACATCTTCCTTCATCACATGCTGTTGCTTATACATTGTTTCATGAAATTCTTTTGTGTCTGCCAATTCCTTTTGGTACAATGACTCTGTATACTTTTTCCATCTTCTTTTAAAACTTCCTAGATCATTACTATACACCTGTTAAATGAAAAACAGGTGAATCAATTCTTTTTTTAAAAAAAATTATTAATTTTGGTGAAACTTGACAGAGACTTTAGATTTCCATTCATTTAAACTCTTTCATTGTTTTACAGTCCCTCCCCCCAGGTCCACTCCACTATGCAGCCTTTGCTCTGGACTCTCTGCACTCATGTCATGACAAAAATACCTAATCACATAGCCCATTTAAACAGTTTTCTCCCTTATCTGCTTCAATGCAGTATACGTTATTGAAGCCATCTTTCTCAGTCTCCTCTCAACCCCAGAGTCAGTTCTGTTTTACAACAGTGACACTATGCAGTATTTTTCCTGTTATGACTGAAATATTTCACTCAGCATAATGTCCTCTAGGGTCACCCATTTTGAATAATATTGCATGAGTTCCTTGATTTTCAATGCAGCATAGTATTCCATTGTGTGAATATACCACAGCTTCTCTATCTGTTTGTTGATGGGCCCTTGGGTTGTTTCCAGCTCCCTGCTATTGTGAACAAAGCCGCGATAAACATGAGTGTGCATATATTTGCTTGGGTGTCGTCAGTCAATTCTTATCCATGAAAGATTGCTATTTTTATGCACATCCATGTTTATTGCTCTATTGTTCACAATAGCAAAGAGATGGAAGCAATCCTGATGCCCATCAATAAAGAAATGGATAGAAAAACTATGGTCCATACAGTGGAATACTACACAACATTAAACAACATCACCCAAAAATGGGGAGCTTTGAGAACATGCTAAGTGAGATATCTCAGTCACAAAAGGATAAATACTGCATAACACTACTATTAAAAAATAGGATAGACATATGAGGGTTGGAGAGGGATTGAGGAAGGAGTGGAGAAATAATGAACATTGCATTAGGCTAGATGAAGGTAAAAAGTTTGAAAGGAATATGTAATATATAATTAAGTTGTAATTATATTGTTGTTGTTGTTGTTGTTGTTGTTGTTGTTGTTGTTATGGGCCATTGAGTCACTTGCGACTCATAGCAACCCTATGTACAAGAGCCCGAAACGCCGTTCTATCCTGTGCCAACCTCACCATCTCAAACACATTTATTCCCACCACTCCACTCACAGAATCAATCCGTCTCATCAAAGGTCTTCCTCTCCTGTGCCGTCCCTCCACTCTCCCAAACATGATGTCCCTCGCCAAGGACCAGTCCCTCCTTGCAACATGCCCAAAGTATGTCAGACGAAGCATCAGAATCCTTGACTCCAAGGAACCCTCCGGCTTCACCCTCTCTAGGACAAACCTGTTTGTTCTCATAATAGTCCATGATATATCCAGCACTCTTCTCCAGCACCACAGCTCAAAGGCATCAGTTCTCTTTCTGTCAGCCCCAGTCACTGTCCAGCTCCTCAATGCATAGCACATAATTGCGAAGACTGTAGCCTGGAATCAGGCGCACCTTAGTGTCCAGCCTAATGTTGTTGCTTTTCAATACTCTTGAGAGGTCTCTCACAGCTGGCTTTCCCAGTGCAATTTGTCTCCTGATTTCCTGGCTGCGGTTACCAAGAGTGTTGACTGTGGAACCAAGTAAACTAAAACTGTTAACTATCTCAATCTCTTCACTATCCATACTGATGCTGCCAATAGGCCCAGTGGTGAGAATCTTTGTTTTCTTAATGTTGAGCTTCAATCCATATTGAAGGCTACAGTCCTTGACCTTCTGCAGCAAGTGCTTCAGGTTCTTCTCAGTTTCAGCAAGCAGGGCTGTATCATCCGCATAACACAGGTTGTTGATGATTCTTCCATCATCCTGATGCCACATTCCTCCTCATACAGTCCAGCATCTCGGATGATCTGTTCTGCATACAGATAGGAAGCATTATCTATATGACAGTAATCGGGGACAAAGGGGTCCATTGTGTGTGGCTGAGGCGGGAAGGGAGGGGAAAATGTTCAGCAATGAATTTTTATAAAGATTAATATTTCTTTTTTACAAGGGAAGGGCTTTATGTCTTTTTTTTAAAAAAAGAAATTTAAAGGAAACAACAGAGCATACACCAACTCAATAATTTCTATCTGTACCAAATCAGTGATAAATTATACAGATTTTACCCCCTTCCTTTTCCAAATTGCTTATTCCCCAAAATCAGTCCTAGTGCACTGTGCATTATACTACTAAACAAAAGATTGCCAGTTTGAATCAGCCAGCCCCTCTACAAGAAAAAGGTAGGAAATGTTCTCCCACAAAGATAAATCCTCACAAACTTGAGGTAGAGTGACTGGGAGTCAGAATCTGATTGACAGTAGATTCTGCATTTAGTTTTGGTTTTGATTGATAGTTTGATCCCATAATATCAAGCTCTTCAAAATAGCACAATATTCAAAGCTAACTTTCATAAAAAGCTAACTATGACAGGAGTCCAGAATTGAAGGCTGCACAGTGGAGTGGACTTGGGGGGAGGGATTGTATAACAATGAAAGGATTTTTCTTTTACTTTTCAAAGACAAGATTAAATTGGGGGGGGGGGGTAGTGGGCAGGGAGAAAAGTGCAACAATGAATGAATGGAAATACTAAGTCTCTGTAAACTTTCATTAAAATTAATTTTAAAAAAGTGAGGGGGAAAAAGCTAGCTGATTTAAAGAGTACTTCAGGGAATAATTTTGGCTTACAGTTTGATGGTTATGTCAGGGCAGCAGTTTGGTGGGTTTTTCTAGCTTCAGTGGGTCAGGATTTGATGAGAATTTTTAATTCTTTTTTATATCTTCCCTCTTTGGATCATAATCTCTCCAAATGTTTGATGGGTTGTTGTTTTTGTTGTTGTTGTTGTTTGCAGGACAGTTTACAAAAGCCAATTATTTTTCTATTCAGTCACACAAACACATTTTATTTCATGGTCCAATACCTACAGTGTTTCTTCCCTGTGATTCTTCTTTCCATTCATCTTTCTTTCTTACCCCTTTCTGCCATCTGAGCTTTGTCTCTTTTTTAAGTGCTGCTTTTTTGATCTTATACAATTGATTATTCTAAGAAGTAATTGCCTCCTTAGTACTGTTGTTTGCCGAAAAGTTGGGAGTCCTAAAGGTGAGTTTTGTTCTGATTCTAAGAGTGGTGATTGATGCTTTATGTCCTTGCTGTATGTTTCAATATTATTTTTAAAAAAAAAGAAAGAAAAGATGCCCTTAGAAATGTATATTCTAAATGTTACATATTTAATGATTGCTTTGAGTCTGTTTATCTTTGCTAAATTAATATAATTTTTAAAATTTCATATAGGCTAAAGTGATGGCCAATGAGGAAAAAAAATTTCAACAGCATATTCAGGCCCAGCAGAAGAAAGAATTAAACAGCTTTTTGGAGTCCCAAAAAAGAGAGTATAAACTTCGAAAAGAGCAGCTTAAAGAGGTACTTAAATAAAAATTACCAAAATAATTAGCTGTTTATTTGGTTATATCTAATTTTAAACTCAGGACCATTAGGACAAAATTTCCTTTTTTGTTACCACTTTTTATAAACTTTAATGAAGACATTGATTTTAATCAGTGCTCTTCAAATGAGTCACCTATTTAAGTAGGGTCAGAAAGAATTCTGTTCTGAAAATATAAATTATTTTACCTATAATTATTTTCATGAACTCTTACTTAGTAGTTGA